AAGGAACATTTTCCAACAAACAAATTTGGTAGAAGTTGGTTGTTCGATTGGCTACTGTCAAGCAAGAACAGTCATACGTGAATCGAAATTCAGCCAGTCCTTGCTGAACCGACTATTGATGTTCTTTATTTATGCAACTAATAATAATTGTCCCTCCCTGCGCTCCCGGCTGAATGCTACTGTCTTAGCTTGAATTCCTGTAATATCCAGCATGCGACCATTCTTGGGTAGAGTAATGGAGGGTTATGACACCTGTAAGGTTTATTTTTGCCATCTGTATCCTAATAGGGAGATTTCCTTTCACTTCCTGTCCTATAGCCAAAACAGGAAGTGAGTTAAAAATGTATCTGAAATGAAGGAATCCATGGTTGTCACCAGAACTAGTGTCCCCATTGGAAGATATCCATACTATTTCCTGTTCTGGGGACAACCCAAAATGTAAGATTTTCTTTTACTTTCGAATTCAGTGATGTACTAATAAAGAGGGTAAATGTCCCGGACAGGGGGCACAGACAGCAAATAAAACCCGCCATCGCCACTCTTTCCATAACTAAAAAAAAATTTTTGCCTTTTAGTTATATTTTAACCACTTAAGGACCGTACTGCGGAAGGATGGACTGTGCAGGCACAGCGACATACTGCTACGTCGCTGCAGGTTTCTTGGTTTCGGGCGTGCGCATGCGTGTGCAATCTGCAGGAGTCTGTCCGCAAGTCTTGGCCAATGGTTCATGGCTGGAGACCTGCTGATTGGTTGTGTCCAATCACAGCCCAGAATGCAAGAGTACAATCCAAACGCACACATTCCTGCGTTACAAATGGCGGTGTGTATAAGTGGGTGCTGCAGTGACCGTCGGCTGGAACCGAACAGAATCACGAAGGGAGAATGTCACCAGCACACCGAGGATCACCAATACGGGGCCAAATGTTGTAATGAACGATCACATAGTTTCAGCAAGGCAACGTTTCGGAGTCTTGCAGGACCCCTTCATCAGGTCACATGCCTCCGAAATGTTGCCTTGCTGTAACTATGTGATCGTTCATTAAAACCTTTGGGCCCGTATTAGTGATCCTCGTGTGTTGGTGACATTTTCCCTTCCCAATCACAGCCCAGAGCTCTGTGTTGACAAGCAACACAGGGCTCTGTACAGAGGGAACAATCTCTCTGTTTCTTATCTCTGCAAAACTGGGACAACAAACAAAGATCTGTTTAGTAAAAGCAGCACAAGTGGGTAATGACTGTGTACTGTGTTCCTTTTGTACAGGTAAAGCTGATGTAGACTTGATGACTCTGAAGAATCGTATCTCGGAGGTCCCTGGTCTTCCAGCCACAACCGATGTTTGTGCTACTGCCACAACTACCTCTGTACCCCCCCGGGCTTCCTTTGGCCATTCCTGGGGTCATCGTAGGTCTTGCTCTGATGAGGTCCAGAAACACGGTGGCTTTCCTTCTCCAGAGGTCTTTCAGATGCTCAGAGCAGCCGAGGCTCAAAGCTCCAAAAAGTAAGAATGAATAACTTGTAGGAAGTCCGTAGTGAGCAGTTCATTGGTGAACCGCATGTCCTCTATCCACAGGGAGCTGACACCCCTGCAGGAGGCCTCCATACAGAACCAGAAGCTCAGAGCTGCATATGAAGCCCGGCTCTCCAGACTGGACCCAAGGCAGGCCGCACAGAAAACCTCCCTGGTTAGTGGTTCCATAGTACCAGGTCTGGATTATGTTCCATGAAACCGCTTTAGTGACAACGCCAGTGTCATTCCAGCTTTGTTTTATCCACCTGCATAAAAAAAAAAAATACATAGTTGGTCTGGCTGAAAAAAAGACAAAAGTCCATCCAGTTCAACCATACAATACAAGAGGTAAAGCACGTTGGTAATCAAACTTTCTGTTCTTTGAGAACTTCAAGGTTACACATCAGCTGCTAGAAAGAACCTCTGATGTATTTTTCGAGGAATCACTTATGCAGGCCATACATGATTTGAATTCCGAACGATTTTTCGTCCAAAAATCGAAAGCGTCGTTCGCTCGGTAATCCGATGGCGCCATCAGTGATTTTGTAAATCGGCCGGCCGAGTCATAAAGTTCACCCCATATAACAGGCGAAACTTCTGTTCCTTCCAGGTCACAACTCATGCGCATATTCTTTTCGGAAAAATTATTGTAGGATTTGACCATCATTGAGTCGAAAACCGGTCGTTTTTCACGAATTTTCCAACATGCCCGATCACTGAAAAGGGGAGGAACCACGGAAGTCAGCCGGTGCAATGGACCCACTACAGAAGGAAAATGGGCTGATTATTCTTAGGTTCGATGTACGGATGAAAAATCGGTCGAATTTCGACCCATGTATGGCCGGCCTTAGTGTTGCCATTCAAAATGTGTTGGAGGCTCTTTGTGGTCCGCGTCCTTTTACTGGTGATCTGGGAACTCCCTGAGTTTTCCTGTTTAGTAAAGCAACCGTTTACTGAACACGCAATGACCTCTGAGAAACGGGGCTGCGGTATCGGGGGGGAAATTGGGCTGCGATTATGGGGGGAAATGGGGGCTGCGGTGTCGGGGGGGAAATGGGGCTGCGGTGTCGGGGGGGAAATGGGGCTGCGGTGTCGGGGGGGAAATGGGGCTGCGGTATTGGGGGGAAATGGGGCTGCGGTGTCGGGGGGGAAATGGGGCTGCGGTGTCGGGGGAAATGGGGCTGCGGTGTTGGGGGGGAAATGGGGCTGCGGTGTCGGGGGAAATTGGGCTGCGGTGTCGGGGGGGGGGGACATCGGGGGGGGCTGCGGTGTCGGGGGAAATTGGGCTGCGGTGTCGGGGGGGACATGGGGCTGCGGTGTCGGGAAAATGGGACTGCGGTGCGGGGGGTGTCGGGGGAAAAAATGGGACTGCGGTGTCGGGGAAAAATGGGACTGCGGTGTCGGGGAAAAATGGGACTGCGGTGTCGGGGGAAAAACTGGGGTCGCGGTGTGCGGTGGGGAAAAATGGGGCCGCGGTGTCGGGGAAAAATGGGACCGCGGTGTCGGGGGAAAAATGGGGGCCGCGGTGTCGGGGGAAAAATGGGGCCGCGGTGTCGGGGGAAAAATGGGGCCGCGGTGTCGGGGGAAAAATGGGGCCGCGGTGTCGGGGGAAAAATGGGACCGCGGTGTCGGGGGAAAAATGGGACCGCGGTGTCGGGGAAAAAATGGGACCGCGCTGCGGTGTCGGGGAAAAAATGGGACCCGCGGTGGGGGAAAAATGGGGGCCGCGGTGTCGGGGGAAAAATGGGGCCGCGGTGTCGGGGGAAAAATGGGGCCGCGGTGTCGGGGGAAAAATGGGGCCGCGGTGTCGGGGGAAAAATGGGGCCGCGGTGTCGGGGAGAAAAATGGGGCCGCGGTGTCGGGGGGAAAAATGGGGCCGCGGTGTCGGGGGGAAAAATGGGGCCGCGGTGTCGGGGAAAATGGGGGGGCTGCGGTGTCTGGGAAGCTGGGGCTGCGGTGTTGGGGAAAGCTGGGGCTGCGGTGTTGGGAAGCTGGGGCTGCGGTGTTGGGAAGATGGGATTCCAGTGGGAGACACTAGAATCAGATTTAGGGTCCATGCACACTGGCCTTCAAAAAAACACACCAGTTCCCTTGGCAGATAAAAATGTTAGTTTTTTTTTTTTTTTGCCAGAAAACTGCTCTCAAAACCACAAACCAGGAGGTTTTTTTCTGCCTCTAAACGCCGTGCTGAAAATGACATCCTAATGTGTATGGATGGGCTCATAGGAGAACATTGAGCTGCTTCTACAGGAAAAACACAAAACTGTAGAAACCACAATTTTTATTGTTTTGGGGTTTTTGTTGTTGTTTTTAACCACTTGGTAACCATGCTATAGCTGAATGATGGCTACAGCGCCCAGTTCTGGGAGGACCTTTGTTTCCAAAACCTCTGCGTGCCACTGAACAGTTACCATTTTTGTTTTCATTTCAATTTTTTTTTTTTGCTCCTCAGTGCTGCTGATCTCCTTCAACCTCTTTTCGCTGCTTCCTTTCTTCATGCCCTTAGGACAGATTCTCACCTGCTGCGGTGGGACTGTGCTGGGCGGTTATTCCCACCACATGGACGAGGCACAATGCCTTTTCTCCTACATACCTGATTCACAGCACTGCATTGCGATGGTGTCCAGGCACGATGCACGGAAAAAAAGTATAGCAGGCGTTACGAGCAACGCGAGGCAATCCGCTGCCTTACAGTGCGGGGCCAGCCATTGAACTTTACGAGATGGCTGTGTGAGATCTCAATAAAGTTCGTTTAAAAAAAAAAAAAAAGCATTCCGCCAAGTTCAACGCATCATCACTGGATCTCAGCCGGAACGCACCGCACACCTTACGCTTCGCAGGACGAACCGACCTTCACTCAGTGACAACTGCAAACCATTTTTCTGGTCCAGCTTCCTGATGGTGACAACGGTGCACAATGCTACCACAAAGTGCATTGACGTGGCCCCTTGTAGTCTCCACCAGGGGTTCACTTTGAAATGGTGGCAGCACGATAGCTGAATTACAAGGCAGTTGTCACCCCACAGCAGGCAGTTCCTGAACACAGATCTTTCTGTCAGGATCGCCGGGTATCTTTTAAATGAAATCTGCAAATTTACAAAAATTTAAAAAAATTGAAGTAAGATTTTCCTGCTCGGGTTTCCCTGCATTTTAGAAAACGAAAGCAGTTGGCTATTCTATAGCGGATGGTGTCACACGTTGTAACTGGATGATTTTTTCTTTTTTAGACTTTGTCACTTCAGCGGCAAATGATGGAAAACCTGGGGATAGCTAAGGCCAGGGAAGAGACCGTATCCTTCACTGTGGGCGGAGCCCACTGGTCTGGCCCTGTGCCAGGACTTCTGTTCATTTGAATAATAAAGTTTTCCAACCTAGTGCTAACAATGGCCTAAGAGATGCTAATTCCTTAACCTCCACCCCCCCCCCAGCTGCAGAGAAAGGCCGAGGAACGCAGGATCAGGCTTCAGGAAGAGTCGGACAGGTAAACCGACATGATATTCCGCAAGTTGTACAAAGCCTTGTCCCTCTACTTCTGTTTTTCCTGCAGACGCTTCAAAAGCGAACGCGTGAGCCCAGCGCAGACCGAGCAGAAGATGCTGTATACCGCCGTGCTGGAATATGAGCAGGACCATGTGAGTACAGCGCACTCTTCCAAAAATCCTCCTCCAGACCTAAGCAATGGAGGAGATTTACTAAAACTGGTGCAGCTGCGCATGGCAGCCAATCGGCTTCTACCTACAGCTTGTTCGGTGAAGCTTCGGCAATAAAACCTGGAAGCTGATTGGTTTTCCTATGCAGAGCTGCATCGGATTTTGCACTCTCCAGTTTAATGCAGGCCATAGACGGGTCGTTTAGCGGTCGAATTTTCGTCCGCAGGCTGTTCATGCTGTTAGTGGGGCAATGCCGTCGGCCGTTTTTTCACAGGTCTTCTCGTTTCTTTTTATCGGTCATGCTGGAAAATCCACGAAAAACAGCTGTTTTTCGTGAGCATTGGTGGCAGCATCCATGGCGGCAACGACTGATGTTTTGTTTATCGGCCGACAATTCGGCCGATAAACGGCCCGTCTACGGCCAGCCTAAGTAAATCTCCCCCATTTCTTTATTTCCCGAGTTCACTCTCGTGATTCTGGGTGTTAATTTTCAGTGGCATCTGATGGGTTGGGGACCTTTTTAAAAGCAAAATTCAGCCTTTTTGTTACAATAGAGTTCATTAGAGAAGCTGCTGAAATGCATTTAGTGTGTTTTTGCCGCGTTTTGTATTTTTATGCTGCCCAGAAACAAAGGAAAAAAATTCCAATTCCAATTAACATTAAGAAAAAAAAGCTGAACAAAACGTGTCAAAAGCGTATGTAGAAAAATGCAAAACGAGCTGCAAAAAGCTCTGGAGAAATCTTCAAACGCAAAATACATATATGTGAACCAAGCCTAAAGCTGGAGCCCTCAGAATCCGGTGCAGCTCTGCATGGCAGCCAATCGGCTTCTACCTTCAGCTTGTTCCATGAAGCTTTGGCAATAAAACCTGGAAGCTGATTGGTTCCTATGCAGAGCTGCACCGGATTTTGCACTCTTCAGTTTTAGTAAATCTCCCCCATTTCTTTATTTCCCGCGTTCGCTCTACTGATTCTGGGCTTCAATTTTCGGTGGCATCTGATGGGTGTGTGTTCCAGATCTGTCCTTGTAATTATTCCTGTTCCTGACTGAAGCTGTTGATCTTTCAGAACACAACGGAGGAGATCTTCTAAGGCTCCGTTCACACCAATGCGGTTTTTTAGTGCTTTTTGCGCACTACGGTCCATTTAACATGGTTTCCTATGGAACATGTGCACATCTGTGTTTTTTTTTTTTCTGGGCTGCTGCGTTTTTTTGGAAAGGGTCGGGACTTTTTAAAAAGCAAAATTCAGCCTTTTTGCTACAATAGAGTTCAATGGAGAAGCTGCTGAAATGCATAGTAGTGCGTTTTTGCCGCGTTTTGCATTGTTATGCTGCCCAGCAACAAAGGAAAAAATTCCACTTTAACATAAAAAAAAAAAAAAAACTGAACAAAATGCGCCAAAAATGTGTGTAGAAAAATGTGCGCACTACAGTCCATTTAACATGGTTTCCTATGGAACATGTGCACATCTGTGGGGTTTTTTTTTTTTTTGGGGGGGGGGGGGGGCTGCTGCGTTTTTGGAAAGGGTCGGGACTTTTTAAAAAGCAAAATTCAGCCTTTTTGTTACAATAGAGTTCATTAGAGAAGCTGCTGCAATGCATAGTAGTGTGTTTTTGCCGCGTTTTGCATTTTTATGCTGCTCAGCAACAAAGAAAAAAAATTCCACTTTAACATTAAGAAAAAAAGCTGAACAAAACGCGTCAAAAGCGTATGTAGAAAAACGCAAAACAAGCTGCAAAAAGCTCTGGAGAAACCTTCAAACGCAAAATGCATATATGTGAACCAAGCCTAAAGCTGGAGCACCCAGAATCCTTTGCAGCTCTGCATGGCAGCCAATCGGCTTCTACCTTCAGCTTGTTCAGTGAAGCTTTGGCCATAAAACCTGGAAGCTGATTGGTTCCTATGCAGAGCTGCACCGGATTTTGCACTCTTCAGTTTTAGTAAATCTCCCCCATTTCTTTATTTCCCACGTTCGCTCTACTGATTCTGGGCTTCAATTTTCGGTGGCATCTGATGGGTCGTGTGTTCCAGATCTGTCCTTGTAATTATTCCTGTTCCTGACTGAAGCTGTTGATCTTTCAGAACACAACAGAGGAGATCTTCTAAGGCTCCGTTCACACCAATGCGGGTTTTTTTAGTGCTTTTTGCGCACTACGGTCCATTTAACATGGTTTCCTATGGAACATGTGCACATCTGTGTTTTTTTTTTTTTTTTTTGGGCTGCTGCGTTTTTTGGAAAGGGTCGGGACTTTTTAAAAAGCAAAATGCAGCCTTTTTGCTACAATAGAGTTCAATGGAGAAGCTGCTGAAATGCGTGGTAGTGCGTTTTTGCCGCGTTTTGCATTTTTATGCTGCCCAGCAACAAAGGAAAAAAATTCCACTTTAACATAATAAAAAAATAAAAACTGAACAAAACGCGCCAAAAATGTGTGTAGAAAAATGTGCGCACTACAGTCCATTTAACATGGTTTCCTATGGAACATGTGCACATCTGTGGGGTTTTTTGTTTGTTGTTGTTTTTTTTTTTCTTGGGCTGCTGCATTTTTGGAAAGGGTCGGGACTTTTTAAAAAGCAAAATTCAGCCTTTTTGCTACAATAGAGTTCAGTGGAGATGCTGTTGCAATGCGTGGTAGTTCGTTTTTTTTGCCGCGTTTTGCATTTTTATGCTGCCCAGCAACAAAGAAAAAAAAATTCCACTTTTAACATAAAAAAAGAAGCTGAACAAAACACGTCAAAAACGTGTAGAAAAACACAAAACTTCTAAAAGCTCTGGAGAAAGCTTTAAATACAAATACGTGACATCACTTCCGAATTTTTATTCTGTCCTACAAGTAATTTTGGATCACACACTGTGTTCATTCATAACTGAAGCATTGCAAACGGTTTTTTGTTTTTTTGGGGTGGGGGAGGGGGGGGGCACCTGTCAAGTTGGCTGTATGGGGTCCCATGGTTTCTATCAGCAGCCCTGCATGCGAGTGACATCATTGCGGCTCGGCCATTCAAGGGGCTCAGCTCGCGAACCCGAAAGGAAGAGCGCGTGAAGATGGCAGCCTCTGAGACGCGCTGGAGGGCTTCTGGTAAAGGAAAGTCTTTCATAGTGTGCTAGTATGCAATCCATACCGGTACTCCATCGGTACCAGCACATCATGCCTGTACCTGGCGGAGGAGAGGAGAGCGGTTTCTCTTTTTTTTTTTTTTTTTTTTATGACTTCTTTTCCAGTTTGAACCTTTTATAGGATTTTAGTGACTCACATCTACTTGAGACTGTAAAAAATACAGATAAAACTGCAATGAAATCGCTGTAGTCTGGCCATAGGTGCCTCTGCCAGAAGGAGGATTGGAAAAAAAAAAAAAAGATTCCCTCATTTCCCATACATTTGATGTGGTTGGAGGAATCCCCCCCCCAGTTTTTGCATTTGCCCACGTTTGTGTGTTTTTTTTTTTTTTTTTTTTTTTTTCGTTTTGGGGTTTTTATACCCCCAAAAATTTTTTTTAGTAAAAAAAAGTCCACAAATGCTGGTTTGCCGCAATTTACTGGATTTTTTAGCGTTGGGGTGTTTTTTACAGCTAAAATACTCCTCTAGAATCCCGCTAGTTCCGGGTATTTTTTTTTACAAAAAAATGCTGATTCCAGTCTGTGTGTGTGTGTGTGTGTATGGACACCGAGGATGCCGGGGAGTTTACTGGCTGTAGAAAAAACCGTCTGACGCCAAAAACAGCCGCTGTAAAAACGTTCCGCATGCAGGAGGACTTAGCTTGGGTTCACACTTGCGCAGTGCGGTGTATCGCATGTTATTCGTACAGGAACCGCATTGCTGTGCAAATCACATGTGAATTCTGTGCGGTGCGATCGGGAGTCTTGCATTATGTACGGCTCAGATTGCACCGCAGCCACACCAAAAAGGCGCACGACCCTTTTTTTGGTCCGCACGGGTATTCACACCTATGGGATCCGATTCTGGCCCATCACACGGGATATTTCACACCTATGGGATCCGATTCGGCCCATCACACCTATGGGATCCGATTCGGCCCATCACACCTATGGGATCCGATTCGGCCCATCACACCTATGGGATCCGATTCGGCCCATCACACCTATGGGATCCGATTCAACCCATCACACCTATGGGATCCGATTCGGCCCATCACACCTATGGGATCCGATTCGGCCCATCACACCTATGGGATCCGATTCGGCCCATCACACCTATGGGATCCGATTCGGCCCATCACACCTATGGGATCCGATTCGGCCCATCACACCTATGGGATCCGATTCGGCCCATCACACCTATGGGGGCCCATCACACCTATGGGATCCGATTCGGCCCATCACACCTATGGGATCCGATTCGGCCCATCACACCTATGGGATCCGATTCGGCCCATCACACCTATGGGATCCGATCGGCCCATCTATGGGATCCGATTCGGCCCATCACACCTATGGGATCCGATTCGGCCCATCACACCTATGGGATCCGGCCCATCACACCTATGGGATCCGATTCGGCCCATCACTATGGGACCGATTCGGCCCATCACACCTATGGGATCCGATTCGGCCCATCACACCTATGGGATCCGATTCGGCCCATCACACCATCCGATTCGGCCCATGGGATCCGATTCGGCCCATCACACCTATGGGATCCGATTCGGCCCATCACACCTATGGGATCCGATTCGGCCCATCGCACCGCATTTTGTGGACCGATTTCGGGGTGTTGTTAACTTAACATACACACCTGCAGCGGTTCGCATGAACGGGGTGCGATTCTGATGCGGTGCAGAATTCGCTCAGAAACCGCTGCGAATTCCGCACCGCATCAGTGTGAATCCTCGGGCTGGAGGTGGAGTTTTCGATGATGGCGATGAGTCTAAGGCAGGCCATAGGCGGGCCGTTTATCAGCCGAATTTATCTCCGATAAACAAAAAATCGGTCGGCCCCGTTGCTGATGCTGCCATTCATGTCCCCGAAAAACAGCTGTTTTTCGTGGATTTTTCCAGCATGACCGATAAAAATAAATGAGCAGATCCGTGAAAAACGGCCGTCGGACTGACCCCACTAACGGCGTGATTATCGGCTGATTTTTCGTGCGGACAAAATTCGGCCAATAAACGACCCGTCTATGGCCAATATAATTCCTGCTCAGTATCAGCCATGATGTGTCATTAAATCGTTCCTTTTTCACTCTCTAGAGATGGACACAAATCTGCAAGGAGAAGATAAAGAGCGACCCCAATGACCCCGGCCCCATCTCCAGCTATGTGCATCAGATATTCAGGTAATTCCCGATTAACGTTTGCAGGATATCAGTCGCAGATGTAAATCTTCCGGCTTCAGCTCTCCGCTCTGCATTTTAATGGAGTACAAATCTGTGATTCCTGTGTTGTCCCTCCGCCTGCTAACCAGATTATGTTCACAAAGCTCCACAATCTCAGCTCTGTTGTGGGAATGGCTTCTCATGGCTACGTAAATGGGAGGAAAATAAAGAGTGAATAGACCTGTATATACCACCCCCCCCCAACAAAGGAAGGTAGCCTGGAATGTAGATGAAAGCAGAGGCACACACCCCATCTAATTTAAATGCAAAATTCAAGTGCTAAAGATCTGTAAAAGCATTAACACATGCAAAGTGCTGCTTGTGAACCAGATGTGACCGGCAGCAGTCCTACAGCATGGAATATAGTCCCATAGTCTGGATGAAGAAACACAAAAGTCCATCCAGTTCAACCATTAAAAAAAAAAAAAAACAAGTTATCCTACACACAGTGGATCCAGAGGAAGGCAAAAACCCAGCAAAGCACGATCCAATCTGCTCCTGCAGGGAAAAAATTCCTTCCACTGATCCCCCCGAGAGGCAATCGGATATTCCCTGGATCACCTTCCCCTATAAATGTTATATCCAGTTATATTCTGTGTATCCAAGAAAGGATCCAGGACTTTCCTACAGCAATCCACTGAGCTGGCCACACCCACCTCTGTAGGGAGTCTATTCCACATTCTCACAGCTCTTACTGTGAAGAAACCTTTCTGTGTTTGGAGATGACATTTTTTTTCCTCCAGATGTAAAGAGTGACCCCTTGTCCTCTGTGATGACCTCAGGGGGAATAACTACACCGAGTTCACTATATGAACCACTGATGCAGCACATTCTACATAGACTCAGGCCTCCAGCACACACTGCATGGGAGACATGACCCTGGTACCTGGAATACCTATGAGTACATGAGAGTGAGGACCTCAGCATACGCTGCATGAGAGATGGGACCCTGGGGTATGCTATACCTATGAGTACATGAGAGAGTGAGGACCTCAGCACACGCTGCATGAGAGATGGGACCCTGGGGTATGCTATACCTATGAGTACATGAGAGTGAGGACCTCAGCACACGCTGCATGAGAGATGGGACCCTGGGGTATGCTATACCTATGAGTGCATGAGAGTGAGGACCTCCGCATATGCTGCATGATAGGTGGGACCCTGGGGTATGCTATACCTATGAGTGCCATGAGAGTGAGGACCTCCGCATATGCTGCATGATAGGTGGGACCCTGGGGTATGCTATACCTATGAGTACATGAGAGTGAGGACCTCCGCATATGCTGCATGATAGGTGGGACCCTGGGTATGCTATACCTATAAGTGCCTGAGAGTGAGGACCTCCGCATATGCTGCCTGAGAGATGGGACTTGGGGTATGCTATACCTATGAATCCATGAGAGTGAGGACCTCCGCATATGCTGCCTGAGAGATGGGACTTGGGGTATGCTATACCTATGAATCCATGAGAGTGAGGACCTCAGCATACGCTGCATAGTAGGTGGGACCCTGGGGTATGATATACCTATAAGTGCCTGAGAGTGAGGACCTCAGCATACACTGCCTGAGAGATGGGACTTGGGGTGTGCTATACCTATGAATACATGAGCGTGAGGACCTCAGCATATGCTGCAAGAGAGATGGGACTCTGGGGTATGCTATACCTATGAGAGTGAGGACCTCAGCATACGCTGCATGAGAGATGGGACTTGGGGTATGCTATACTTATGAGTACCTGAGAGTGAGGACCTCCGCATATGCTGCATGATAGGTGGGACCCTGGGGTATGCTATACCTATGAGTCCATGAGAGTGAGGAGGACCTCAGCATACGCTGCATGAGAGATGGGACCCTGGAATATGCTATACTTATGAGTACATGAGTGAGGACCTCCGCATACGCTGCATGAGAGATGGGACCCTGGGGTATGCTATACTTATGAGTACCTGAGAGTGAGGACCTCCGCATACGCTGCATGATAGGTGGGACCCTGAGGTATGCTATACCTATGAGTCCATGAGAGTAAAGCCAGCCGTAGATGGATCGAATCTTGGCTGGTTCAGCTGGGACCAGACAAGATTCGATCCATCTTTGGGCAGGCCGGTTGTACAGAAGTCTATCCATCAATTGACTTGGGTACAACCAGCCTGTTGGATTTGTTTTACATGAGATTACTGCTGGCGGCCATAGCCACTCGCACTAATCATTGTGTTCTGTAGTCTGGGAAGGCTCCGTGTCAGCAGAACACAATAGCTCTGTGGGGGAGGATCTCCCTCATCAACACTGATTGTGTTGATGGAGGAATCAAGCAATTCTCTATAGAAGTACCTGAAATCAATAAATAACAAATGTAACTAATTCTTGTTGTTTTCCTGCTATCAGCACCCCGGAACATCCAATCGCCAAACTAGTCCGGCGTCTCCAGTGCCAGATATACAGCCGCTTATACCTGATCATCAGCAAGGACCCGCCTCAGGAACCTTCAGCCTCCGACATTGGTCACCAGTCCCTCCCCACAGAACTGATTTCCTTACCGGCCGCCGGAGCCTCTAAACTGAAGACCTCCCAGAGTCTGTATTGCCTCTCCAGCTGTCCCCGTCCCTCCATCCAGCACAGCCATTCTATAGGCGGGGATCTGCAGAGCCTGGAGACTCGTACAGATTGGGGCCACAAGGACATGGAGAGCTCCTATGAAGACTTGGAACACTTGTTGTCTCCGTCGTCCCTCTCCGGACTGGCCGCTCTGCAGAGATTGTCGGCATCGCAGTATTTAAATACGGTCGTGAAAGAGATTCACAACGCCAGAGGTAAGCGTGTGTCGGGTTGGGGGGTCGGGCGGGTCTGGTTGGGCAGGGGCGGGGGGCGGGTCTGGTTGGGCGGGTCGGGTCGATACAAAAGACACAAAATAATGTTGCTCTGTATTCAATAAATCAGTATTAAACCCAAAACCAACAGATATCGCAGCTTACCAATCTTTAGATGTGGCGGCCGCATTCGTTTTCTATTTTAGGCTTCACCTGGTGATCCGGCCAGTAACACACCTCCTGTATTAGAGAGCCGCCCACTCTGGAGGAAGAAGCACAAGGGGCACAGCAGCATTGTCGTTCCATTTCCTCAAGCTTAATCTCTCCAAAACCGAGCCCGCAAGCCAAAGTCCTTGGCGTCATTCTGGACTCAAACCTTTTCCTTCCAACCTCATGTCAAATCACTTACAAACACATGCAGACTCCACCTCCGGAACATCGCCAAGATACGTACGTTCCTTACCCCAGACACCACTAAACTACTCGTACACTCCCTGATTATCTCACGCCTGGACTACTGCAACTCCCTCCTCACCGGCCTACCCCAGTGCAGGCTCTCCCCGCTTCAGACCATCCTGAACTCAGCGGCTAGACTCATCCACCTCACCAGCCGCTCCACCTCTGCCACCCCCCTCTGCCAATCCCCCACTGCCAATCCCTCCACTGGCTCCCTATTGCCCAACGCATCAAATTCAAACTACTAACTCTGACCTACAAAGCCATTCACAACACTGCCCCTACCTACCTCACCGACCTAATTCCCAGGTATCACCCTACCCGTACCCTTCGCTCTTCACAGGACCTCCTTCTATCTTGCTCCCTGGTCTCCTCCTCCCACGCACGTCTGCAAGACTTCTCCAGGTCCTCCCCCATCCTCTGGAACTCACTACCCCAATCCATCAGACTGTCACCTTCCCTCCTCACCTTCAGGCGCTCCCTGAAAACCCTCCTCTTCAGGGAAGCCTACCCCACCCTCACCTTACAGCCGCTGCCCTTCCCTCCTCCTACTACTCCATCCCCCACAGCCACTTCCTCCTGTACCACTACCCCCTCCCTCCTAGATTGTAAGCTGGAAAGAGTAGGGCCCTCTAACCCCTCGTGTGCTGTTTATAGTTGCTGTAATGTTTCATGTATTGTCCCCCCCCTCTATTGTACAGCGCTGAGCAAACCCTTTGGCGCTATATAAAACTCCATGTAATGTAATTGTCAGTCTGGGAGGAGGGGAGTGTTAGATGCATTAGCAGATTTGGAATTGAAGCCACACAGCTCACACTTTATAAGCAGTTCCAGCAAACCACAAAAAACAGAGAGCGCGCTGGCTCAGTGCATTATCCAAGGGGATGTTTATTGAATGCTGATACAAGTATACTCACAAACATAATACAAGGCTTGCATATCTGGTGATGTCACGGTGCCGGTACAAACCAAGAGCGGACCTTTCAATGCCAGGTTGGTATCGCCAGGGAACCCGGAACACGGCTAACGCGTTTCGAGGACAATCCTCTTCTTCAGAGCCTAAACCCTTTTGTTCCATTTTGGGATAAAGGTTGTACATAAATAAAAGCTGATCATTGTAAGCACCTTTTAGCAGTGGTAAATAGTTTGACTCATCTCTGTAATCGATACATCTGCAGGACGGCTTGTTCTTTTGAAAAATAGATTTACTGTCTGGATCCCCAGATGAAAATAAAAGTCTAAAAAAAAAAAAACACTAATGCAGCCATCACATCTTAGAATTCAATATCATAAAAGTTTTCTTTTGGGTTTAATAATGCTTTATCATGAAATGTGTGATTTTTTTTTTTTTTTATTTCTTTTTTTAAATTCAGACAATGTATGGACTTGCTGTCAGTCTCCTGCGACCTCCTGTACAGCACCAGTTTATCTTTGATAAGTTACCATTTACAAACAAAAGAACACATATATATATATATATATATATATATATATACAGCTACATTGAAAAAAACATTTTTAGCGGTTTTAGGCCAGTTTTTCTTTGATAACTTTCCATTTACAACCAAAAAAACACAATTCCCCCCCCCCATAAAAATCTCTGTAATCCACCTGGATACACAAAGTACATGCGATGATCTGTACAGATTTTCTGGCGCATTTCAAAGCTGCAGAATTGTCTTCAGGCATTATCATTGGTCTCGAAGGGGTTAACCTCGTCCTTGATTACATAACGATCGCTGATGAGGATTATGCCGATCCTTTCACATTTCCCTCCAGTAGAGGTCAGTATATAGGAACACATCGGGAGCTCGGCGTAGATTGTAGGTCAGACGGAGGAGGGGCCGGCCTCACATCCACATGTTGGCGTGTTTAGCAGAAAGCCAGCCGTGACGGCCCCGTATTTCTCTTACGATTACATTTTCCTCGTAGGTCAGTCGGCGTCTCGCCAGCAGAGATCTTCGTTTACAGGAATGTAAAACCCCTTCGGCGCTCACTCCGTCCTACATTCCATGGTGGTAAAAAACACAAACAGGGCGCCATCGCCTAGGGCACTTTATTGGGGGGAGCAAATAAAAATATCCTCCCAAGCCTGATACACTGAATGCAGGTAAGGCACATCCAAGGCATGGAGTACAGACATCCGCAATCCATTTGGTGAATGGATGACTGAGCCAGCTGACGTGTTTCGGGGAACTGGTCCCCTTCCTCAGAGCCGTCCATTCACCAGTTGAAGTTAGATAGCAGACGCCTGTTTTGTGTTTTACATTCATTCAGCCCATCGAGCTTCTGAGTTTATTTTTTTCATCCAATAAAATGCTCCGAGAACGCGCCTTTTTCTGTTTGTGGTTTTTTTAGTATTGAATTTCCCCCAGCTGAGGAGCGCTGCACCACCTACCCTTCCAGGTTGCTGGACTCTGGCACAACTCTGCAGCATAGGATGGGGGCCTCCAGGGCTGTGGATAAGGGGGTACCACCAGTCCTCCAGGCCAGCAGGGGGGCCCAGGCAACTGGGTGATTTGGATGTCGGCAGGCAGGGTGATTGGCACAGTGAGGGGGGGCAATTCCTGGAACCGATCCCCTGTATGGCTCTCTCTCTCTGCAGCAGCTGAAAGTTGGCTTCTTCTCCTCTCCCTCCCACTGGCATTCACCTACTGCAGAGAGAGAGAGCTGTACAGGGGATTGGGTCCATTAATTGCCCCCCCCCCCCCCCCCGCCACACCTATCACCCTCCTTGTGCACTATCAGTTTCCCCCCGCTGCTCAAGCACCCCTGTGTGCCCCCACCCCTGCAGTGCTGCTGGCTTCCCTCCTCTCTTTCCCACCGGCAGCTGCAAGTACACAATAGGATCCTTCAGGATGGAGAGTGGGGGGAGGGGTCTAGTAGAAATATCACCTTTTACCAGCCCCTTTCTTTCCTGAAGGAACACAATGAGTGATCAGTACTGATCACTCTCTGTGTTCATTCATAACTGAAGCATAGTAAACTGTTTTTTTTTGGGGGGGGGAGGGGGGAGGGGCCCTGTCAGGTTGGCTGTATGGGGCTCTGTGGTTTCTAACAGCAGCCCTGGTGGCCTCCACCACTTTTGAGCACTGAAATGTCAAGTTTTTTTGTATATCTCAGGTGTACACCGAGTACTCAAACCAAGGCTGCCCTCCTCAAGTGGGGAAACTCTGGACAGAACTGTGAAAAGACACAGGAGGGCGCAAACACCTAGTGCATCACCACCACCAAATTATATGGAAGTGATTCTAAAGGAAAAATTAACCACTTGAAAATCGGCCAATGGCAGTTTTACTGCTGAAGGGCGGTTATCCTGTGCAAAATCAGGTAGAGGCGTACCTCAGTGTACGAACGCCCCGGTGTACGAACGCCCCGGTGTACGAACGAACGCCCCGGTGTACGAACGAACGCCCCGGTGTGTACGGTGTACGAACGCCCCGGTGTACCCCCGGTGTACGAACGCCCCGGTGTACGAACGCCTCGGTTAATGTAATTTTCGGTTTACGAATAAAAATCCATTGAAAAATAACGTCTCGGTTTACAAATTGTTTTCCACAATACGAATCAAATTAATTGGTTTTCAATGCATTTACGAATTCATTTTTAATCACGTCCCCGGACAGTATTTATGCCTTTACAGTGCACTTTATAAAGAGTTTGGAATGGATAAAATACTTTTTTTTTTCTCACTTTGGAACGGATTAATTGGTTTTCAATGCATTCCTATGGGAAACTGCATTTCGGTTTACGAATTTTTCGCAATACGAAAGGTCCCACAGAACTAATTAAATTTGTAAACCGAGGTACGCCTGTATATACGTACGTGACTCTGCACTTCCGCCATATTGTGCGTGCATGTACACCGCCGGCTGCTCGCTTCTGCTGCGAACACCCACAGCAGAAGCCAGTCTTTGAGTCCCGGTAAACGGATGTTCGCCGGCACCCGCCAATCGTCGGGCAGACAAAGAACAGAGCTCTGTTCTGAATGGGAGGGAAGTGAAGGATTGCGTGTCCCTGCAAAGCTGCGGACAGATCCTTCACTTTTTTGAAATTCTGTTTTCACTGCAGATAACCTTTACTTATCCATTTGTGTTTTATCACAGACCCCAGTTTTTTTTGTTTTTGTTTCAGTTTTAGATTTGACAGGTTTGCTTTAAATGTATTGTAATAAAGGATCTCATATATATAGATAGATAGATAGATAGATAGATAGATAGATAGATAGATAGATAGATAGATAGATAGATAGATAGATAGATAGATAGATAGATAGATAGATAGATAGATAATAGATAGATAGATAGATAGATAGATAGATAGATAATAGATAGATAGATAATAGAGATAGATAGATAGATAGATAGATAGATAGATAGATAGATAGATAGATAGATAGATAGATAATAGATAGATAGATAGATAGATAGATAGATAGATGATAGATAGATAGATAGATAGATAGATAATAGATAGATAGATAGATAGATAGATAGATAGATAGATAGATAGATAGATAGATAGATAGATAGATAGATAGATAGATAGATAGATAGATAGATAGATAGATAGATAGATAATAGATAGATAGATAGATAGATAGATAGATAGATAGATAGATAATAGATAGATAGATAGATAGATAGATAGATAGATAGATAGATAGATAGATAGATAGATAGATAGATAGATAGATAGATAGATAGATAATAGATAGATAGATAGATAGATAGATAGATAGATAGATAGATATAGATAGATAGATAGATAGATAGATAGATAGATAGATAGATAGATATAGATAGATAATAGATAGATAGATAGATAGATAGATAGATAGATAGATAATAGATAGATAGATAATAGATAGATAGATAATAGATAGATAATAGATAGATAATAGATAGATAATAGATAGATAGATAGATAGATAGATAATAGATAGATAATAGATAGATAATAGATAGATAGATAGATAGATAATAATAGATAGATAGATAATAGATAGATAGATAGATAGATAGATAGATAATAGATAGATAGATAGATAGATAGATAATAGATAGATAGATAGATAGATAATAGATAGATAGATAATAGATAGATAGATAATAGATAGATAGATAGATAGATAGATAGAGAGATATAATTTTTTTTTTTTTTTATAACGGACATGTTTTTTCACCCTCCCCTCCGAGATTTTGGAATCTAGAAATGGCTTTTACATGTCACCATTATGTCTCCCCTCTCCAGACTTGTTGGTGTCGTCGTCTGTGCTGTCTCTGGATCTTCCCACCACTCCACCAGTGAAAGAAGTCTGCCTGGACTGTATAGATGAAAGCTTCTTTCCTCCTCTATGGTCGGCGCTCTTGGCTCTCTACAGGTAGCCGCGCCATTTGTATTTCCTATTAAAGTACAAGCGGTGCCAGGGCAAGGTCTCCCAGCGCCCAGGGCAAAGTTGCCAAACTGCACCCATCTCCCCGCCCCCGTCATGATTCGCAAGCTGTAGGAGATCCTACACCCAGCAGTGACTTTTCAAAATCATTGCCACGGTCCCTACTCCTGTCAGCTTTGCAACAGAAGGAAGGCACCTCCCCCATCCATTCAGTAAACCATTGTGCCCAGGACAGCCACCCCTTGCGCCCAGGGCAGCCGCCCCTCCTGCCCACCCCTTGTGCCCAGGGCAGCCGCCCCTCCTGCCCGCCCCTTGTGCCCAGTGCAGCCGCCCCTTGTGCCCAGGGCAGCTGACCCTCCCGCCCGCCCCTTGTGCCCAGGGCAGCCGCCCGCGCCTTGTGCGCAGGGCAGCCGCCCTTGTTCTGCCCGCCCCTTGTGCCCAGGGCAGCCGCCCCTCCTGCCCACCCCTTGTGCCCAGGGCAGCCGCCCCTCCCGCCCGCCCCCCTTGTGCCCAGTGCAGCCGCCCCTTGTGCCCAGGGCAGCGACCCTCCCGCCCGCCCCTTGTGCCCAGGGCAGCCGCCCGCCGCCTTGTGCGCAGGGCAGCCGCCCATTCTGCCCGCCCCTTGTGCCCAGGGCAGCCGCCCCTCCCGCCCACCCTTTGTCCCTGCCGAGTAGAAGTATGGCCTCTCATTAACAAGTATGTACTGCAGTACCTAAAGCTGAACTCCGGATATGTTCTCTACATTGAACCAATGTAAGTGTTCATATCTCATCACTGGGAGACCCCTGTGGGAGCTGACAATCGGTATAGTAGTTGGCACTATCACAGTGATAGCCGCCATCTTCCTGTTCTGAGCGGCTGCTCCAGTGCGTATTGACCACAGGGGGTCGCTCACCTGGCACTGCTGCCTTTCTCAGAATGTTTTTTTTTTTTTTTTCTTCAATGAATACAAAGAGTTCTCTGATTGGACAAGGTGAAGATTGTGACATCACCACCCCTCCTCTCCACCTCTTTCAATCAGATTTGTGTGTATTCATTAAAAAAAAGATTTCAAGGCATTCGATAAAGGGCGAGCGCTGGACCCAAAAGATTACGGCGATCACTGCGATTCAGTGATTATCAGCTTCCACAGCGATCCTTCAGGTATGAAATACGGAACCTTACATAGTTCCAAGCTGGACCAACGTAAATGTGCATTTAAGATCGTACCTGTAGTACAGCTTTAAATTAAGTCCATTTCCACTGTTCACCTAATCCCCTGCAAAGTCCCACAAATACCTGTTCATCCTGTCGGTAAAGTCCTCCTGATGCCGCTTCCTGTGATGGGGTGGCAACGATGCTGCACTGCTCCTGAATTCAGAGCAGCATTGTCACTCTCATGTAGGCTGTGGCTGTTTGCACTCAGCGGAATGACGATTCCCTATATCCGCTCTCCACGGACCCCGCATTCACTATATCCGCTCTCCCCGGACCCCGCATTCACTATATCCGCTCTCCCCGGACCCCGCATTCACTGTATCCTTTCTCCCCGGTCCCCGCATTCACTATATCCGCTCTCCCCGGACCCCGCATTCACATATATCCGCTCTCCCCGGACCCCGCATTCACTATATCCGCTCTCCCCGGACCCCGCATTCACTATATCCGCTCTCCCCGGACCCCGCATTCACTATATCCGCTCTCCCCGGACCCCGCATTCACTATATCCGCTCTCCCCGGACCCCGCATTCACTCTATCCGCTCTCCCCGGACCCCGCATTCACTCTATCCTCTCTCCCCGGACCCCGCATTCACTCTATCCTCTCTCCCCGGACCCCGCATTCGCTCTATCCGCTCTCCCCGGACCCCGCATTCGCTCTATCCTCTCTCCCCGGACCCCGCATTCGCTCTATCCTCTCTCCCCGGACCCCGCATTCGCTCTATCCTCTCTCCCCGGACCCCGCATTCGCTCTATCCTCTCTCCCCGGACCCCGCATTCACTATATCCGCTCTCCCCGGACCCCGCATTCACTATATCCGCTCCGGACCCCCGCCTTACCCCCGGACCCCGCATTCACTATATCCGCTCTCCCCGGGACCCCGCATTCACTATATCCGCTCTCCCCGGACCCCGCATTCACTATATCCGCTCTCCCCGGACCCCGCATTCACTCTTATCCTATATCTCTCCCCGGGACCCCCATTCGCATTCACTATATCCGCTCTCCCCGGACCCCGCATTTACTATATCCTCTCATCCCCGGACCCACCCCGCATTCACTATATCCGCTCTCCCCGGACCCCGCATTCACTATATCCGCTCTCCCCGGACCCCGCATTCACTATATCCGAAGAAAAAAAAAAGTTGGAATAAGCTGTTTTGTTCAGTTATTATCCTGTTAATGTGAGTCTTTGTTTCAATGTTCTCAGACAGGTCCTCTTGGCACGGGAGGAATCCCTTCTGCAGGTCATGGAATTATACAGCACAGCGCCACCATCTGTAGTAGGCGTGCCACAACACCTGTACCCTGAGGACGTCACAGACCCGTACAGATCAGCCGCAGAAGTCCTAGAACAAGTGACCAATCAGAACTCCCCCCACAGGAAGCTGGAGTGTATAGGTAAGCAACGTTCAGAGGGGGGTCTCCATGTGAAACCGAAATCCCTCTTCTGCTGAGGTCCTATGTGGGGTCCCTATAGTTGTGCTGCAGTGCCATGTTTTGCCTTTTTGGTGGCACACGTGGACCTTACTGCTGATTAATGTGATTGTAAATGTCTTTTTCTCTTTTTTTAAATAATCTGTTATACTTTCCTGCCTGTAATGGTTTTGCACAGAGCAGCCCCGATCCTCCTCTTCAGGGGTCCCCACCAGTGCTTCTGCCCCAATAGCAAGCCTCTTCGGGGCTTAATCCGAGCTGCACTATGTACTTGGGTCGGGGCCCGCCCCCACCCCTCCCCTTCGGCTTCCCTGTCACTAGATTTGATTGACAGCAGCAGGAGCCAATGACTCACACTGTTGCCTCCTTGTCCGGTGAGGAGAGGGAGAGCTGCTGCTCTCGGGCACAGTGCTGGATCAAAATCAGGTAAGTATTTAGGGAGGTGGGTGGGGGGAACTGGACCAAGGATTCTCAACCAGGGTTCTAGGGAGCCCTAGGGTTCCTCCAGGGGTTGTAGGGGTTCCTTGAGCAATGAGCAATTTCTGCCTCTTAGATAAGTTCCCACTGACCTTTTTTAGCTTCCCACTAACCCCCCAATTTAAGGGACATTCTTCCCACTGACCACCAACGTAAGAAACATTCTTCCCACTGACCCCCCCCAATGTAAGGGACATTCTTCCCACTGATCACCCCAATGTAAGGGCATTCTTTCCTACTGACCACCAATGTAAGGGACATTCTTCCCACTGATCCACCAATGTAAGGGGCATTCTTCCTACTGATCCCCAATGTAAGGGACATTCTTCCCACTGATCACCAATGTAAGGGCATTCTTCCCACTGATCCCCAAACGTAAGGAACATTCTTCCCACTGACCCCAATGTAAGGGAACATTCTTCCACTGACCCCCCCAATGTAAGGAACATTCTTCTGACCACCAATGTAAGGGCACATTTCTTCCCACTGACCACCAATGTTAGGGACATTCTTCCACTGACCCCAATGTAAGGGACATTCTTCTTCCCACTGAACCCCCAATGTAAGGGACATTCTTCCCACTGACCCCCAATGTAAGGAACATTCTTCCCACTGACCCCCAATGTAAGGAACATTCTTCCCACTGACCCCCAATGTAAGGAACATTCTTCCCACTGACCCCCAATGTAAGGACATTAAGGGACATTCTTCCCACTGACCCCCAATGTAAGGAACATTCTTCCCACTGACCCCCAATGTAAGGAACATTCTTCCCACTGACCCCCAATGTAAGGAACATTCTTCCCACTGACCCCCAATGTAAGGAACATTCTTCCCACTGACCCCCAATGTAAGGGACATTCTTCCCACTGACCCCCAATGTAAGGGACATTCTTCCCACTGACCCCCAATGTAAGGAACATTCTTCCCACTGACCACCAATGTAAGGGACATTCTTCCACTGACCACCAAATGTAAGGGACATTCTTCCCACTGACCCCCAATGTAAGGTAAGGGACCCCCAACATTCTTCCCACTGACCCCCAATGTAAGGGACATTCTTCCCACTGACCCCAATGTAAGGGACATTCTTCCCACTGACCCCACAATGGTAAGGGACATTCTTCCCACTGACCCCCAATGTAAGGGACATTCTTCCCACTGACATTCTTCCCAATGACCCCAAAGGGACATTCTTCCCACTGACCCCCAATGTAAGGGACATTCTTCCCACTGACCCCCAATGTAAGGGACATTCTTCCCACTGACCCCCAATGTAAGGGACATTCTTCCCACTGACCCCCAATGTAAGGGACATTCTTCCCACTGACCCCCATGTAAGGGACATTCTTCCCACTGATCCCCAATGTAAGGGACATTCTTCCCACTGACCCCCAATGTAAGGACATTCTTCCCACTGACCCCCAAGGTAAGGGACATTCTTCCCACTGACCACCAACATAAGGAACATTCCCCCACTGACCACCAATGTAAGGGACATTCCCCCCACTGACCCCCAATGTAAGGGACATTCTTCCCACTGACACCAATGTAAGGGGACATCTTCCCACTGACCCCCCAATGTAAGGGACATTCCCCCCACTGACCCCCAATGTAAGGGACATTCTTCCCATGACCACCAATGTAAGGGACATTCCCCCCACTGACCCCCAATGTAAGGGACATTCTTCCCACTGACCACCAATGTAAGGGACATTCTTCCCACTGACCCACCAATGTAAGGGACATTCTTCCCACTGACCCCCAATGTAAGGGACATTCTTCCCACTGACCACCAATGTAAGGGACATTCTTCCCACTGACCCCCAATGTAAGGGACATTCTTCCCACTGACCCCCAATGTAAGGGACATTCTTTCCACTGACCCCCAATGTAAGGGACATTCTTCCCACTGACCCCCAATGTAAGGAACATTCTTCCCACTGACCCCAATGTAAGGGACATTCTTCCCACTGACCCAACCAATGTAAGGAACATTCTTCCCACTGACCCCCAATGTAAGGGACATTCTTCCCACTGACCCCCAATGTAAGGGACATTCTTCCCACTGACCCCCAATGTAAGGGACATTCTCCACCCCACTGACCCAATGTAAGGGACATTCTTCCCACTGACCCCCAATGTAAGGGACATTCTTCCCACTGACCCCCAATGTAAGGGACATTCTTCCCACTGATTCCCCAATGTAAGGGACATTCTTCCCACTGACCCCAATGTAAGGGACATTCTTCCCACTGACCACCAACATAAGGAACATTCTTCCCACTGACCCCCAATGTAAGGGACATTCTTCCCACTGACCCCCCAATGTAAGGAACATTCTTCCCACTGACCCCCAATGTAAGGGACATTCTTTCCCACTGACCCCCAATGTAAGGGAACATTCTTCCCACTGACCACCCCAAGTAAGGGACATTCTTCCCACTGACCCCCAATGTAAGGGACATTCTTCCCACTGACCCCCAATGTAAGGGACATTATTCCCACTGACCCCCAACGTGATTCTTCCCACTGACCACCAACGTAAGGGACATTCTTCCCACTGACCCCCAACGTAAGGGACATTCTTCCCACTTCCCACTGACCATGACCACCAACGTAAGGGACATTCTTCCCACTGACCACCAACGTAAGGGACATTCTTCCCACTGACCCCCAATGTAAGGGACATTCTTCCCACTGACCCCCCAATGTAAGAACATTCTTTCCCACTGACCCCCCCAATGTAAGGGACATTCTTCCTACTGACCCCCAATGTAAGGGACATTTTCTTCCCACTGACCCCCAATGTAAGGGACATTCTTCCCACTGACCAACCAACGTAAGGTGACATTCTTCCCACTGACCCCAATGTAAGGGACATTCTTCCCACTGACCCCCAATGTAAGGGACATTCTTTCCCACTGACCCCAACGTAAGGGACATTCTTCCCACTGACCCCCAACGTAAGGGACATTCTTTTTCCCACTGACCACCAACGTAAGGGGGCATTCTTCCCACTGACCACCAACGTAAGGGGCAATTCTTCCCACCGACCCCCAACGTAAGGGGCTATTCTTCCCACTGACCCCCAACGTAAGGGACATTCTTCCCACTGACCACCAATGTAAGGGGCATTCTTCCCACTGACCACCAAGGTAAGGGGACATCATTCTTCCCACTGACCCCAAATGTAAAAGGGACATTCTTCCCACTGGGACCCCCACAATGTAAGGGACATTCTTCCCCACTGACCACCAATACGTAAGGGACATTCTTCCCACTGGGATTCTTCCCACGAACCAATGTAAGGGGACATTCTTCTTCCCACTGACCCCCAATGTAAGGGACATTCTTCCCACTGACCCCCAATGTAAGGGACATTCTTTACCCCACTGACCCCCAATGTATGGGACATTCTTCCCACTGACCCCCAACGTAAGGGTGATTCCCCCCATGACCACCTATGTAAAGGGACATTCTTCCCACTGACCACCAACGTAAGGGACATTCTTCCCACTAGACACCCAACGTAAGGGGACATTCCCCCCCACTGACCCCCAACGTAAGGGACATTCTTCCCACTGACCCCCAATGTAAGGGACATTCTTCCCCACTGATTCTTCCATGACCCCCAATGTAAGGGACATTCTTCCCCACTGACCCCCAATGTAAGGGACATTCTTCCCACTGACCCCCAATGTAATGGGACATTCTTCCCACTGACCCCCCCAATGTAAGGGACATTCTTCCCACTGACCCCCAATGTAAGGGACATTCTTCCCACTGACCCCCAATGTAAGGGACATTCTTCCCACTGACCCCCAATGTAAGGAGCATTCTTCCCACTGACCCCCAATGTAAGGGACATTCTTCCTACTGATCCCCAATGTAAGGGACATTCTTCCCACTGACCCCAACGTAAGGGACATTCTTCCACTGACCCCCACCAACGTAAGGGACATTCTTCCCACTGACCCCCAATGTAAGGGACATTTCTTCTCACTGACCCCCAATGTAAGGGACATTCTTCCCACTGACCCCCAATGTAAGGGACATTCTTCCTACTGACCCCCAATGTAAGGGACATTCTTCCCACTGACCCCCCCAATGTAAGGGGACATTCTTCCCACTGACCCCCAATGTAAGGGACATTCTTCCCACCGACCCCCAACGTAAGGGACATTCTTCCCACCGACCCCCAATGTAAGGGACATTCTTCCCACTGACCCCAAGGTAAGGGACATCTTTCCCCCCACTGACCCCCCAATGTAAGGGGACATTCCCCCCACTGACCCCCCATTTCTCCCATGACCCCCAATGTAAGGGACATTCTTCCCACTGACCCCCATGTAAGGGACATTCATTCCACATTCTTCCCACTGACCCCCAATGTAAGGGACATTCTTCCCACTGACCCCCAATGTAAGGGACATTCTTTCTTCCCACTGATCACCAATGTAAGGGACATTCCCCCACTGACCCCCAATGTAAGGGACATTCTTCCCACTGACCACCAATGTAAGGGACATTCTTCCCCCCACTGACCCCCAATGTAAGGGACATTCTTCCCACTGACCACCAATGTAAGGGACATTCTTCCCACTGACCCCCCAATGTAAGGGACATTCCTTCCCACTGACCCCCAATGTAAGGGACATTCTTCCCACTGACCACCAATGTAAGGGACATTCACCCCATGACTACCAATTTTCTTCCCACGACCCCCCAATGTAAGGGACATTCTTCCCACTGTAAGTGGACATTCTTCCCCCCCCCCAATGTAAGGGACATTCTTCCCACTGACCACCAATGTAAGGGACATTCTTCCCACTGATCCCCAATGTAAGGACCATTCTTCCCACTGACCCCCCAATTATGTAAGGGACATTCTTCCCACTGACCCACCAATGTAAGGGACATTCTTCCCACTGATCACCAATGTAAGGGACAATTCTTCCCACTGACCCCAATGTAAGGGACATTCTTCCCACTGACCCCCAATGTAAGGGACATTTCTTCCCACTGACCCCCCAATGTAAGGGACATTCTTCCCACTGACCCCCAATGTAAGGGACATTCTTCCCACTGACCACCAATGTAAGGGACATTCTTCCCACTGATCACCAATGTAAGGGACATTCTTCCCACTGATCCCCAATGTAAGGGACATTCTTCCCACTGACCCCCAATGTAAGGGACATTCTTCCCACTGACCCCCAATGTAAGGGACAATTCTTCCCAATGACCCCCAATGTAAGGGACATTCTTCCCACTGTCCATCACACTAATCTATCAGCAGTTGCTCCTCTTTGTTGAGTCTGATGTAGACATTCCTGCAATCACTGTAGCATTTACTAACACGCCTGTATGTCTGTGTTTCCTAGCGAGGACCCTGCGGGGGATATGCGAGTGTGCCGATGAGTACTGTGCCACCCCAGGGACTGCATCCATGTGAGTATCCTGCAATAAATACTATCATAATGTTTTTCTAAGCAGAAGACATATTGAGGCCTCCGTGGCCAGGCCAGACTTAGCACTGTCAGTATGCACCATAATAAAGCAGACCTAAATTATATATAAATTAGGCAATGATTCGGGAAAAACAACTTAAAAATGCCAAAAAAATATAAAATATCAGCTGGAATGAGACAGCACCCCCCCCCGGGCCATGTAGGCAGAAATTGTATATAAAACCACTCGTCTCTGCTGACTTTAGAAAAGTTGATAAAGCCAATGTCCATGTAGCAATGGCGATATTCTCATTGTGCCTCACTGGCGAGGACCGAATCATTGATATACCTTATTTAAAGCGGGAGTGCCTAAATAAAAGTCAGCAGTACATCTGTACATAAACTGTATCCACCGATACACACTTACCTGTCCCGGGGTCCAGCGGTGTCCTCACCACCGATCACTTACCTGTCCCGGGGTCCAGCGGTGTCCTCACCACCGATCACTTACCTGCCCCGGGGTCCAGCGGTGTCCTCACCACCGATCACTTACCTGTCCCTGGGTCCAGCGGTGTCCTCACCACCGATCACTTTCCTGTTCCGGGGTCCAGCGGTGTCCTCACCACCGATCACTTACCTGTCCCTGGGACAAGCGGTGTCCCTCACCGCCGATTACTTACCTGCCCCGGGGTCCTGCGCTGTCCTCACCACCGATCACTTACCTGCCCCGGGGTCCAGCGGTGTCCTCAGGCGATCACTTACCTGCCCCGGGGTCCACGGTGTCCTCACCACCGATTACTTACCTGCCCCGGGGTCCAGAGGTGTCCTCGACCACCGATCACTTACCTGTCCCTCGGGTCCAGCGGTGTCCTCACCACCGATTATTTACCTGCCCCCCAGCGGTGTCCTCACCACCGATCACTTACCTGTCCCGGGGTCCAGCGGTGTCCTCACCACCGATCACTTACCTGTCCTGGGTCAAGCGGTGTCCTCACCACCGATCACTTACCTGTTCCTGGGTCCAGCGGTGTCCTCTGGTCACTTACCTGCCCCATGTCCAGCGGTGTCCTCACCACCGATCACTTTTACCTGCCCTGGGGTCCAGCGGTGTCCTCACCACCGATTACTTACCTGCCCCCGGGTCCAGCGGTGTCCTCACCACCGATCACTTCCTGTCCCTCGGTCCAGTGGTGTCCTCACCACGGCTGTTTCACTGAAGCCGGTCTTCTCTCCCTGGCAAGGCATCTTCAGTGTTGGCACCCGGATGTGACAGCTTGCGGCTTCCCAGTTCCTGGTCATCTGAGCCTGCACGAGAAGCTCGCAGTCTTGGTGAATGGCTCCTGTACTCCTGGTCCGCAGTCTCTGGTCATCTATGTAGGGATGTCTGCAGCTTTGGATCGCCTGGGCTATGATTGCAGCAGACGTGGTCATCTCCTGTCAAACGGGTGTCCACCCTCGTCCCCAAAGGTGCCAATCCTGTAATGGGAGCGGGGGACAAAAGCTTAAAGTCTTCTCCTTTTGGGTACTGTTTAACCACATCTCTGGTCGATCGCACGACTGAGAATATCGCCATCTGCTACATGGATGTTCATCTCCTATCAGCTTTTCTGCATAGTCTCTGAGTCATCTCCTGTACTTATGTATACAGTCTCGGAAAAACCAGCTTCCTCCTGTACTTTTTTCACAGTCCCCAAATATATATCGTACTGTCGTCCGCAGACACACTTTTTTTTCCCCCCAAAAAAGGGGGAAAATGTCAGTGCGTCATGGAGCTGTAATATAAAGCAGCCCACAGTATCTTTGTCACCATGTCAGAATACTGTGTCCGGCAGTCAGCTGTTGTCTCCTCAGGGCCTGTACCTGTGTCCGCCTCCAGTCGCTGCACAGTCTTCCCGGGCCGGCTTCTGTGACACCGGGTGCCCACTGCATGCGCTCGCTTTGGAATCTCCGTACTGTGTCTTCTGGGACACATGTACAGGTCCAGAAGGCGCTGGGCCATCTCCAAAGCGCAGCGCTTCTCGCACCTGCGCAGTGGGCACCCTCCTGTACTGAAGCCGCCCGAGAAGAAGAGGGAAGGCAACTCCGCGTGAAGTGGGAGCGGGTACCTCTCAAATTCAGGTACCCGTCTCCCCTCCATCTCCCACTGGTCAGCAGTCTCTGGTCATTCCCTGCACTGTCTGCAGTCTCTGGTCATTCCCTGCACTGTCCGCAGTCTCTGGTCATCCCTGTACGTGTCCGCAGTCTCTGGTCATCTCCTGTACTGTGTCCGCAGTCTCTGGTCATCTCCTGTACCGTGTCCGCAGTCTCTGGTCATCTCCTGTACTGTGTCCGCAGTCTCTGGTCATCTCCTGTACTATGTCTGCAGTCTCTGGTCATCTCCTGTACTGTTTCCGCAGTCTCTGGTCATCTCCTGTACTGTGTCCGCAGTCTCTGGTCATCTCCTGTACTGTGTCTGCAGTCTCTGGTCATCTCCTGTACTGTGTCTGCAGTCTCCGGTCATCTCCTGTACTGTGTCCGCAGTCTCTGGTCATCTCCTGTACTGTGTCTGCACTCTCCTGTACTGTGTCCGCAGTTTCTGGTTATCCCCTGTACTGTGTCCGCAGTCTCTGGTCATCTCCTGTACTGTGTCTGCAGTCTCTGGTCATCTCCTGTACTATGTCTGCAGTCTCTGGTCATCTCCTGTACTATGTCCGCAGTCTCTGGTCATCCCCTGTACTGTGTCCGCAGTCTCTGGTCATCTCCTGTACTGTGTCCGCAGTCTCTGGTCATCTCCTGTACTGTGTCCGCAGTCTCTGGTCATCTCCTGTACTGTGTCTGCAGTCTCTGGTCATCTCCTGTACTGTCCGCAGTCTCTGGTCATCTCCTGTACTGTGTCCGCAGTCTCTGGTCATCTCCTGTACTGTGTCCGCAGTCTCTGGTCATCTCCTGTACTGTGTCTGCAGTCTCTGGTCATCTCCTGTACTGTGTCCGCAGTCTCTTGGTCATCCCCTGTACTGTGTCTGCAGTCCATTGGTTCAGAATATTTTTTTTTTCTTGTTTTTCACCTCTAAAACCTAGGTGCGTCTTATGGAGCGAAAAATACGGTATATATTCGGACAGAATATATTTTCCTAATTAAATGAGCCGCCATTGCTGTATTATTGGAATATTCATTATCATCAGAGTTCAGCCCCTGACTGAATGGCACAGCTAAAGCATTGAGTGTCCTATACAATAATAGTTGGTTGTTCTCTTTGTTTCATCTCAGTTCTGCTGATCTCCTGCTGCTTCTGTGCAGCCACTTCCTGTCTATATGCCAGGACCAGATTTCTATTTCTTTAGAAATATTGAAATACTGTTTTGTGAAATAACAGGAACACGTTGAAGTCTCTGAGATGTCTTAGTAGCTGGACTTGTTCAGGATTATTATATTCCTCCCAGAGTGACTCCTGGAAAGACGGAGCTTGCAGACTGTTCTGGTTGTCACTCGTTGGAAAGCTGTTGCTGTGAGCAACCCAGCCGCCCCGGCGCAGCGACAGGCAGGACAGCAGGGATGGTGCCTGTAGTCTCCTTCCATCTGTATATGTGAGTCTCTGTATTCTGGGTCTGTGCCTCTCTCTCTCCTCGTGTGCCCAGATTGCACAATATATGATGTGTATTGGGTACAGATAGGAGGCCCCTGCAGGGATCTTCACTGATGGATGAGATGTGACAGTTTCGGGCAGAACACGGCCTGTCCTGCAGAGCACAGGGGGGGCTGCGGCGCTCCGCAGAGCAGCAGCTCCCAAGCACAGCGGCTGTCCGATCTAATTAGCGTAGAGAGACAGAAGAAGGGGGCAGGAATGGAGCCGGGCACAGCGAGTGAGAAGAGTGGAGGGGAGAGAACCCCCGACGTACACAGGCATTGGAGGGCAGCTATGCACAGAACGCATGGAAATGTGCCTGTGTCAGGGATATGGAGCTTCTTTGCCATGTGGGTAGGTGGGGTTGGGGTTGGGGGGCACTACATAAAATCTGATCGCCTAACAGCTCAAAAACTGAAAATGAACTCGGAACCTCTGTTGGGTTTTTATTGGTGTCTGGGCCCCTGCCGAGGAGATTCACACTCTGTATTTGTCCCGTTGGTGTAAAGTGACCAGAAAAGTGATGAAAGCTGATCTTCCAATGGGGACACTTGTCCTGTGTCAGAGGAGATTTCCCTTCACTTCTCTGAGATTTCTCCTTCCTTCATTTCCGGTTGTATATCCAGGACAGGAAGTCGATGGAAATTTCCCTAATGGGACACAGAAGAAAATACAGTTTAACACCCCGGTCACATCAGAGACGATTTTGAAATCATGCGACTTACGGCGAAATCGTGCGATTTCAAAATAGGGTGACCTGCCGATTTCATTGTGATTTGCAAGACGTCCAACACAGAAGTCTATGCAAATCGCAACAAAAGCAGCACATGAACTACTTTGGAAATCGGTGCGGCTCCGAGCAAGTTGGAACCGCACTGATATGACTGCTTTCATAGCGGACAATAGGGTGCAACTTGGCATAGGATTTGCAAGTCACAGGGCATGCAGATTGCATGGCAAGTCGCACCCGATGTGACCGGGGTGTTAAAGCGGAGCTCCGCCTGGAAAAAATAAATAAAAGTCCGCTACAAAAACTGTATCTGCTGACTCTTAAAATACAGCCACTTACCTGTCCCTGGGTCCAGCGGTGTCCTCACCATGGCTGATTTCACCGGGTGTCTTCTCTCCCTGGCGCTGGAATCCTCAGTGTGGGCAAAACTTGCGGCTTCACATCACTTCACTGAGCATGTGCGAGAAGCGCTGCACTTTGTGAATGACCCCGTAGTCTTCTGGGACCTGTCATGTGTCCCAGAAGACTACGGGGAGGGAGGGGGGAGGAGGACAACTTTCGCTTCCGATCGCCTAGGCAATTGCAGCTGAAGAGGGAGCAGGTACCTGTAAAATTCGGGTACCCCCCCGCTCCCCAAAGGTGCCAATTCTTAATGGGGAGCGGGGGACG